GAAATTCATGTTCCCTTCTTTCTAATGTTTCATCCGACCTTATCACTCATCACAGTGCGCACCCACCGGGGTTCGAATCCAGGACATTCCGGTTATAAGGAGAGCTAGCTCGTATACCATTCAGCGACTGGGACCCGATTCAACAGCCAGTGCATGAATTTTGCCACCAGTCAATTTCATTGGTGGGAAATACATCCTCACACTTGACTGGGTGAATCTCACTGGAGACAGCTTCTTATGTGAACCCATCCTGGGTTCCAACCTCAGTAGGTGCGTACTCCCGAGCATTCCCAAACTGGGACGAAACAGATATCCAGTACTCCAGTGCTGGTTTTCAATGGTTCTCTAACTGATATCAATCCACAGTCAAACTCGTAAAATACGATTATTAGTAACAAAATGTGGCCTTAACCTCATCCACTTACCATTAGCGTGTCAGTGTGCGTTATATGAAATAAATTTATCCAGTAAATTTAGAAAATGTTTCACACAAAATAGATGTCCAGTGTGTTAGTTAGTAACTAACAGCTGAATTCATACTATTCATTGAATGGTCACTTTCACGTAGAAGTAATAGACTTCGTAATTCCAGATAACCTTCACTGAACATCTTGAACTTGTTTCTGTAGAAACAGAATCCACCGTTTAGCTATGAATTAGCAGTCAGAAAATGAAGCATGAGTTCATTTGAAAAATGATCATGTTTTATGTAGAGTTGAAAAAGTTAGCTTCATAATCACGTTTGCACTGAAAGCAGTGCATGTAAAAACAATAAAAGCTTCTCAATTAAACTAGCCAGCTGAGAGAATGTAGCCACATAAAACGCCAAATTCCATTTGAGGGAATTAAACACATCCTCCACGAATTTAGAGATACTTGCTATTCCTGTATATAAGACACATAAACGCATCTCATCTCCTCTCTATGCATCGCAAAACATCACTAATACAATATATTACTCTCTGGTGACTGACATATATTTGTCAGATTTCTACAATTCAGGTAATCTGTGTATTATATTCGCTTGTGTGAAAAGGTTCTTAGTTTTACTGAAATGAAACGGGAAATATTCGGTCGAACGGTTATTTCGGTGACCTTTTTCATGGCTTCAACATTTATAAATTCACAGCAATTGTCATATGATTTCCATTAAAGACTAAACCTAAATTATGTCAGCCACAATGATGAAGTAGATAGAATCGTACAAGAAGATGAAATGGCAGTCAGATCATTGCTGTGATTCAACTGTATGCGAAATGTGTAATCAATGAAGATACCATAAAAAATTATGAAACGAATTTTTCTCGAAATTTATAATTGAGTTCAAAACTGGTGATTAGACTACGTGATTTTATACATATCTGGATTAATTAATGTATAGATTTCGTCTTGAGATCACTGGCAGCCAGGGAATACAAGACAGTTACCTTCTCCCTAATATGTTACGCTTCAGGAGTAAGCACTCACGAAGTCACTTCGGGCCGAACCTGGAGCGTTCAGGTTACGAGAATCAGCCCGTTGACCATTGAGTCACTTGAGGCTTCAATTGTTTGACGGATGACTTCTTTGTAACTTCGCTATGTAGCGTACCCCAACTAATGTCTCCAATGAGAATCTTGTTCGACATTTGATATGTGACCGTGAATGACTCTTCTGTTTAGATATGGTATTCGCTCTCCTCTAAATGACACCATAATATGACGCCACTTATTAACCTGGTTAATCCATCTCCAAGCCGAATGTTTTGCTGCAGTGTGTGGATACAATCCTCTGAGTACAGTTTTAATAACTAGCACTACACACTGATATGTACGTCATTGATACCCTCATCTTTACTGAAGTATCTCAAAAGGGGGATCTTGTTGACATTATCATACACATAATTTCATCGCCTTGAATGTATTTTCAATAGGTCTGATAAGCGTGAGATTTTGCAAGTCATCTACAATATCGCACCTGAACTAAATCCTAATGCACAGTTTCTTTTCACTCAGTCCATTACTCATTTTTTCAGTTTTCCCTAAACAAATACGTCTTTAAAACTTTGCAAGCGTAACCATTTTGCAATATGTTACGATTCATAATATCTAAATGATCTTCGAAACATGTAGTGGGGGATCTTAACATATTTTTAGAGTATACGTTCACACTTCTGTGTAGTTTTCATGAAGATATTTATTTTGACAAATACTTCTGATGCTCGCTAGTAACTTACTACAGGTTGGAGTTTCCTGAGTTCTAGTGAGAAGTCGTGACCAGTGAGGTCCAATTAGATGTCACGTGTGTGGATGGATGTCCCACCAACGACGATGATTGGGTCGCGCTAAATCACGAATTGGTAGAAGTTAGAATTCATGAGCTGGCCATTGAATCGGGTCCCAGTGGCTGAATGGTATACGAGTCAGCTTGCCTTGTAACCGGAAGGTCCTGGGTTCGAATCCCAGTGGGTGTGTACTGACGATGATTCGCAAACTAGGATAAAACAGCAGCTGTCCAGTACTCCCTGGTTTCAATGGTTTTCTAACTGATATCAATCCGTGATCTCCTTTTGATAAAAGTATTCAGGAATTGGATGCTTTCGGGATATCGTTCTTCGCAAGTAAATCTAGTGACTGTGTAAATACTTGGATAAGTTCCCCGTAAACATTTTATCACAAAAATTAAATGTATTACTTATATAAAGCAAATAATATGTGAGCTTAATTAGCGTCTTTCTCAAGAGGCCATTGTTCCAATTTCGCCAAAACAAAATGTCAGCCAATAAGAGATTAAGAAGGAAAATCGTCTAAGCCGTATTTGTTTTTTGATAAAATTCTTTGTTAGGCATAAAGTGGTCATTTATTGTGTACTTGTGCAAAAGCTGTTGAACTTTCGCAGATTTACATCTGCAATGTCCATTTTTCGTCCACATATATGTGGTCAATTTGTTTTACACAAAAGACATTGATGGACAATGACATGATATCTAAAGAGAAGAATGTTTCATTCATTATTATCTAGCAGTGAGGCGTCCCGGCTTCGACTTTCGGTGCGGAAGCGGTTTCGCGCGCCGATGGCACAGTGGCAGAATCCGCGCTAACCACGCTGCTTGGGGTTCAGGGTTTGATCCCTGGCCAACTCACTCCCAAACCTTGCTAAGCCAGTAATTAGACCAGTAGAGAGGGAAGGTTGAGCATGAGGCTAGCAACCCCATCCCAATGCTACTGAAACTTCAAGCCTCTAGCTTGAAGCCCTGTGTTCCACGTGGAACATATATGTTTATAAACATATTGATGTTGACAAATGTGAACGCACTTTTGGTTATGTGTTTGACTAACTACCAGTGTATACTTTCCAGTTTGGCCACTTTCATTTAGTTAGATAATACAGTTAACTTGACAAGTGAAGAACAGAATGCAGAGGAACAGCCATTCCATGGATCTTCAGTAAGCCATACAGACTAGTTGTGTGATTTTCACAATGTTCTCTAACGTCGGATATAGGCCTCTTAAGTGGGTTTCCCTTTTCTGGTGTATCTTTGATATCTTAACAAAATAACTTTTCGTAGGTTCACACAAATCCTCACGATTACTGATTTTGTGAAAGTTGAAATGTCCTATGTAGTCGTGTCTATTGACAGTAATGGTGTCAAAACTACCTCATTAGGTCCAGTCATTATGAGACTTTCACTTATTTACATGGGATATATTAAAATGTGTTAAATATTTGGTTACAGGATTTCATCATGAACTGACTTCGGTTAGAGAACCATTGGAAAAGCCACCAGGGGGTATTCGACAGATGCTTCGTCAGCCTAGTTTGGGACTAACCCAACAGGTATACGCATCCACCCTCAGAGTTCGAACCCAAGGTCTTCTGGTTACAAGGCGAGCTAGCTCGTAGACCATTCAGCCATTGAGATCCGATATAGTGGCCCATGAATTCCAACTTCTGCCAATTCATGACATAACGCGATCGCTAGCCAATGTCTTCGGCTAGTATTTACCCTCGTACTAGAACCTATTTTATCCTACCGGTCACGACTTCCAAATAGAACCCCAGGGAACTGCCTAGCTGAATAGGGCCAGTCGCTAGTGAGCACCTCATTGATATTCAAGAGATAATAATTGTTTAGTAATTTAGACAACTTAATAAGAATTGTGAGTTCCCAGTTTGATGACACCTAGAACTATCAACTCAGCCTGACTTCTGTACAATTTATCTTAAGAATGAATTAGTTTCACAAAACTGGCAGGATGATGAATATGGTTGTATGGAAACGAAATGTCTGAAATTAGTTAGTCAGTTAGTTAGTTAGTTAGTTAATTAGACTACCATATACACATGTTCATTTAATTCTTAAGAAATCTGAGAATATTTAGTTTAGCTGAGATTTGCGTGATCTTGATTTCCGTCTTATTTTGGAAACTTTTGTTTGTGTTTTTCCTTTTCAAGCTGTGCTGAACCAATTTCTTTTCACCTCGTTACTCCCTTGTACTTTGTTACAAAATTTCAATTCAAAATGAATCAGAAGGGTTCCAATTCATGTAATAAACATCCTCTTTTGTTGTTGTTGCTACTGCTGTGTTTGTTCCGTTAATGAGATGTACTTTTGATTTCATGGTTAAAAAGAAAACAAACGGCTGAGATTATAGAAACTGCTTCTGCTGTCAAAATGGTATATAAACGCATGATACGCTTGTATGCAACATCATATCAACATCATGTACACCATCTTTCTATCTTTCTCTCTGATATCCTTGTACTTCTTACAAGGCTATGATAGCGCCTGTGGACCTTCACCACATTATGAGATGGTAATTTTTCACACTTTTACTTCATACCTATTTTTTGCATTCATCACAAATAGAAATATGCTGTGAGAGACGAATCATATCCTGTGGACAAGCGTTCATATCCTGCGCCACTCAAATTCACTGTAGTATACACACCAAATTTTGATCGACTGAGAAATAGCGGGACAATAAAGGTGAGTTTCACTCATTTGAAATTATGAAATCATGATTATATTTAAACAACAAAAAATGAAATCAGATTATAATCATAAAGTATGCGAGTAAATTAATCATGTTTCATTTTAAAAAAATGATTCCCAGAATTACGTGATTCTCAATACAACATACAAAACAGGTTTTGGTAGAATGCAAGACAGAGCATCTTGGAGATGTGCAATACGGAGTTGTGTTATACACAGAGCATCCATCTGCTCTCCAGTAATCACTGTTCTTTACTGTGAAGAGTATTTCTTCACACTTCTGGACATTCTCAACTGTCATTAAACGTTACATTACTAAATGAAATAACTAATTGTCATTTTAGCTATGTCAGTCATAGCGTTAGTGAAATGAATTTAAGTGTTATGAAGGATGTCTTCTTATGCATTAAACTATGTGAAAAGTTTATTGACCACATGCATGTAAAGTCTTACATATATCTTGATAAAATTTTCATATTCTATGACCAGACCAGAATGTTTTGCCTCTAAGTAAGTAAGTAAGAGAAGATGAATGTCACAATGTAGGATTTGAAGACTATTCTATGTAACAGTGAGATTTTAATTCACTGATTCATTTGGTTCACTTGAAAGCCATTGGTCGAATAATTAACAGACATGAATGAACCGCCACGCCCCCACCCACACTCACGCCGCCCTTTAAAGAAGCTGATGACGCTATTTCTGATATTCTGTTACAAACTGTCAATTCAATTATGTAAATGCATTTATTCCCTAGACAACAATAGTTCAACGTGCTATTAATTTCTGGGAGAATGCTCTAACAGTTAAAAACACTTCAAGTGGCAGAATTCATGTTCAAAGGTAAGTGATTTTATTGTGGTTTCTGATGTTTGGTTTCTTTTCTAAAAATCCTCATGGAATTATGTATTGAGAAGTCGTGAGTTTCAGTAGCTTCTTCCTCGCAGGATGCATCAGATACTAAACGTGGACGGTGTTTGATACTGAAGCCATACTGTAATCTAATCTCGATACAACAACAGTTACAGATTATTTGAACAAAGCAAGAACAAGAAAGGTTTATGCAGAATAAAATGGTGCCATCATTATGTATTTTGTTGGCGTCTCCTGAGCTGCTTGCAGGCTAAAGTCATTATTAAGCATATCTACAGAAACAATTTTAACATATTTGCCCAGAATTCATTTTTAAACAAAAATCAATCAACCAGTGTATACATAGAGTATTACACATATGTGAATCCTGTCACTCAGGCGAATATGACATCGCATAATGAAGTTATGTTGAGTTAAAGAACACTTTAAAAGTAATTATTGATTTTATGTCGCCCAAAACATTTGATCTCTATTCGAAATGCCTCGAATGTTTACTGCATAGACGTTTATTTACAGTCTGTAAGAAGCACTACAGAATTACGACTTAGCAGTAGGATAGTTAAGCCCTATAGGTTGTACTACATATATATATATATATATATATTTAAAGCCATTTTGTAAATTCACCAGCCTACATCATAATTCTTTAGGTACTGTGAAGGTGGTATGTATAATCAGTTTGAAAATGGTACAAAGTTTTGCACGCAAACACAATGTCGTGCAAGTGAAAAATGCGGTAACATTAATATACCATCTCAATATTTGTCTGTAAGTTATTTATACAATGAATAATGCGCGATATAAATGCGCAAATTTTCTGATTCCAATGACTGACTTGGTCAACGGAATATTTTTTATGTTGATTACAGCTTGAAACCACACAGTACTGTCGGTACAAGTATGGAATTTTCAGCATATGACATTGGTAGCCCAAAGTTTGCAGGCCGACCATAGATATCAGGTGTGTGTCGGCAGGGATCAGACCGCAGACCATACGCAAGCTAGGCGAGAGTCCTAACCACTGTGCTACCGACGCACAATATCCTTCCTTTTAAACTGAATACAATTCTAACATGTAATAGAATGATCGCCAACCACGTGGTATGTGGTTTCGGATTCAATCCTCGACCGACGCACTCTCAAACCTCGCTAAACTAATAATGAGACTAGCAAAGAGGCAAGATTAGGCATGAAGATACCACCCGAATCCCATAAAAATGAATACTACTCCTACTGAAACTTCAAAGCTCTAGTATGCAGCCTTATTTCCCACTGGAAACGTAGAGGAATAAAATCAAAATAAAAAATCTAGCAGAATAGATGAAAAAAGATCGTACCACCACCGATCTTTTATTCAGACTTCTCTTGTTAAAGGCAGTCACCGTTAAAAATCCTAAAAATATTTTCCTTTATATGATATTCAGAGCAGCCGAGCATAGTTAAGGTTCATCTAGATGATATTTACGAAGCTCAATTCCACCTACTGTTATGCATTTCGGCGAAAAATTATACAGTCAAGCTGAGTACTAAATAATAAGAAAACCCAGCATAATCTTCTCTCACTGAGCTAGTGGATAGTTGTCTAACTTAAATTTCTGACTTGACAACCAACCGAAAGGAGAAGATCTATGCATGAAGTCTAGTCTGTGAGATATATTCAAAAAAATAATTCCATAACGCTACCGAATATTTTATGTTTTTGTCTTTAAAGGATTGTCTGAAAATGAGTTATAGAAACGAATTGACGACAGTTTACCCGAAGGGTTCAGGATTACAAGCAGATGGTTATTTGCTGTTTGTCGACAGTCAGAATACAGGAAGCTGTCTAAATCCAAGTACCAATGCTTACGCTAACTCATGTCAAATGGATCCGGAAACAGATAGGTAAGAGTGTGGTTAAATGTGAAAAGTGTTTTATTTAAAAGGAGTATTTTATATCGAAATTATTAACATTTCCTATCAGCATTTGAATAATGTCACTTTTATACAGGCTTATTACATTTATGAATCACTTATCATTTTGAAGTGTGTGTCTGTGTGTATGCATAAAAGTCTTTTTTGAAATGTGTTCATTTTGTTAATTCCTTTTGTACATTTCAGACCGGTTGCAGGCTATGTAAACTTCTGTCCTGCAAAAACTGTGCTGGTATATCCGCAGTCAAGGACTTTGTATGATACAGCCAGACATGAGATTGCTCATGCTCTCGTATGTTTCGAATATTTTTTCTAAAAATTTAACCTGCATATGTATTACGTGAGGATGTATATTAAAATTTGATCTAGGATAATAATTTGAATGAAAAAATAGTGCAGAAGTATTGAAGAAGTTCATCAGGTTAAACTTTTACCCTTAACCTGACGATAGTAGAAAGTAGAATTCAGTAAATGAAAAATCCACATATTGAAATCAAAACAAGATTTTCAGCGAACAATTGTGGTGTCGATAACTTCCTCTTCAGGCTCTACAGTTATAAATCCATGAACAATAGACTACATATAGCCATTAAAGGCAAATGAAAATAATATCAGAAACTGTATTGGGGTGCATGTGGAAGTTGAAATGGTAGTCCATTAGTAAGCATAGTCAACTGAATGTGTATAGGGGGTGTATAGTCAGAAAAATGTGATGGAGTGTGAATGAACAATTGGGTGACATAGTGTTGTTTTACAGTCAACAGAATATAAGTGTCATTGGGGTGAGAGAAAAACGATAACCACAAAATACATACAAATACACATTAACAAAGGGAACACTGAATGTCAGGGCTGACCGATAATGTCTAATGATAAAATAAAGCGGCTAAATTATAAATTGTGATAAAATGCTACAGAATTGGTAGGTTTAGTTTAAAATCATAAAGGTTGACAAAATAAGGGTAACAATGAGGTGAAATGAACTGCGTGGAGAAATGGATAATAAAGACATGATATCACAAAATGATAATAATGATGACAATCTGCTGAAGAAGCTGTGGCTTACACAGCGAAACTTTCAGAAAAATCTTGTTTTGATTTTCTTAACACGCTGGGATTAATTTAAATAATTTATAATGAATGATAATAATAGTAGTACGAAAAATTCTGATCCTAGTGGCCTTATAGTAGTGGGCCAGGGTAGACAAAGAGAGTGAATAAGTTTTTCCTTCTTTACACATAGATCTGGTATGTCTCTATTAATCTCTATTAGCCTCAGCTATGGCTAGGAGGCGTAATCGTGTGCCTGTGGGGAGATTGTTCGGTACTCGATACACAACTGTAAATGACTCACCTACTTTGATGCTAGAATTGTTTGAAATAGATATCTATACTTTGGCATTTAGTAAATTATTGACATAGTCATATTGAATGGTGACATCAGATAGAGGTAACGGAGGATGATTCTGCACACTGATCTTGTATAATCAAATTAGCTCACACTCAGACTACTGTTGACCTCTGCTGATCTGATTGTATTGGTTGTGAATGAAATTAAATATCGTACGGTCACTGGTAGAATACACGCCAACCCGGCATGTGGTCAAGTGCTCCAAAGATTTCCGCTGGTTGTCTAACAGATGTCAGCTCATGATGAAATCCTCTAACCAATATGGAAGTACATACTACCACAGTGCTCAAGTTTTACACACATTTCAAATATTAGTTTCGTCAAAGAAAATGCAGCTGATGCTGAGGCAATCCCAAAGGATTATTTGACTGACAGACTACTACTTCAGTAATAATGGGTGATGACCCAGTGAGAAATAAACATTTTAGCTGCAGCAAGATTCATACAAGTTTCATCTTGATTCTCAGTCAGTTTTCAGTAAGCACTCACCACATTACAACCCCAGATGTATGCACTATCAGTTTACAGTTAACTTCATGATTTTTATTTAATTTCTATCTGAATATTACATAGTCACAAATATTCAAAAAAGTACTAATGACATTTTCATTCAATTTGATCATTAATATAAAAGTGTGTTTACATCATCAGACAAGCTTTTACTTGTTTTCATTTTCTGTTGTTCCTGTTCTGTGAAATACTATGAAGGGATTTTCACGTCAAAGCTTTGCATTCATGCGTGCACCTGATGGAAGTCCTAGAACCCGGAGAGATCCACGCACGAAAAAACCAACGATCAGGGATCAATATGGAGGATACGTGCCAGGGTAAATTTTAAAATCAGTTAATGGGTAAACTGTAACTATTCGCAATTGATAGTGTTCTCTGAGCTCCTTGGTTTAATTGCGGAGCTTTCATCGTTTTTCTGGACGACATCTTCAGCGCAGTATTTAGGATAAAGTGAAACGATTTAAATTTCTTCATGAGTCTCCCGGTAACCATCTTTAGATATGTATTGACCGTTTTCTATTGATTGGGATTTTGAACTTTCTGATCACCTGATTTACTTCTTATTAGTTGGTATATTTCATCTATATTAACGTGTTTATTAATTGCGTTTTCATTTGAGTACCAGGCTTCTAGGAATTCCTTGGCACATTTGGTGTTTCCTCTGTTTAAGATTTTGACATTATCCCAATCAAACTGATGTCCATGATCGTCTGTATGTATTGATACTAAAGAATTTATATCATGTCTTTTCACGGCTGATTTGTGTTCCTGGATTCTTATTCGAAGGGGAAGCCCAAATTCTGCGCTGAAGATGTCGTCCAGAAAGACGATGAAAGCTCCGCAATTAAACCAAGGAGCTCAGAGAACACTATCAATTGCAAATCATCCACCTGAGTTACAAATCTTTTCTATTATTTCAAAACTGTCACGATGTTATTTGCAAATAGCGAACTGTACTCTATGCCCTACCATTGACCAAAGCAGTTAGCTAGAAGTGATATATGATGTATACTGAGTTGAAGTATGCATTATGAAGACATTCCACGTACATTCTTGATGAGACTGGCTACAGCAGCGGAAAACCGTTGACTAATCACCAGTAGGCTAGTGAAAACATCAACGTTAAGCTCATTTGTAATTCTGAATGTGTATTAGGCATTTCGATTTCTCCTGATATTCATGTACACTAATTGGCGTAAATTGGACATTCGAAATTCAAAATCTTCTGTACCGCCAACAAGCACAGATTCAAATTCTAAGAATGGTCATGATGAATCATATCAGGCTGTGAAAACATGGCCCTCTTTTTCTTCCATTATTGTACTTATTATTATTATTATTGCTCCCTTGGGTTCCTAGTGGAACATAGGGCTTCAACTGCACGTCTCCATTTTCTTCTGTCTTCTGCTATACTTTTCGCCTGCATCCATGTTAATCCATATTCTTTCAACTCCTCTTCACACGATCTCCTCCATGTCACCCTTGCACTGACGTCCCACACGCCGCTTCCCTTCGGGTTCCACTCGAGGGCTTGACGTGCGATGTCACCCAGCGGTCTCCTCAGCGAGTGTCCGATCCATCTCCACTTTCTCCTGCATATTTGTTGGTTGGCGATTGATTCTTGTTTTGTTTGTTTGTTTGTTCCCATAATTCCTTGTTGGTGATTCTTTCCGGCCATCTGATCTTCAGTATAGAGCCAGCGAAGACAGTTGTTAATAAAGGTCTGCAGCCTTTTGGAAATATTCTTTGTGATCCGCCCGCCAAGTTTCTGATCCGTATAGAAGATCTGACTGACTTGACGTTTGTATTGAAAATCCGACTGAATTTTGTTGGTGATGCTGAGTGACGAAGATTTCCAGATTGATTTTAGGCTGATGAATGTGTTTCTCGCCTTCCCGATTCTCGCTCGATTTGACATCCTCGTCCGCTCCTCCTGTAGTTGAGACAATGCTCCCTAGATAAGTGTGTGAATGAAGTAACCTCTTTCAAATCCCTCCCGTTGATGGTGATTGACGTTGGATGTTGTTGCTGTTGTTGGTTGGTTGGTTATTTTCATAACCTCCGTCTTGTCTATGTTTACCTGGAGTCCAGTCTTCGCCGGCTGCTTCTTCGACCAGTTTGTCGGTTTTCGCTTGTAAGTCTTCGATTGTGTGTGACATCAAACATAAATCATCCACGCGCGAAATCCAGGTCTTCTAGGTTCTTCACGTCGGTCGGTCCAGGATATTCCTGTCTTCTCGTTTCCCACAGTCTGACGCATAATCCAGTCAGTCCACCACAATTAGAATATCATTGGTGATAGTAAGCACCCTTGTCTGACTCCTGTGTTTACTCCAAACGCCTCGCTCGCTGAGTTTTCCGTTGTGGATGACTTGACATGTGCCGTTGTCGTACAGCTGTTGAATAAGGTTGATGAATATTTGGGACACTGTACGCCGTAGTACTCGAGTAATTTCCAAATTACTTCACGGTCAACGCTGTCGAAGGCCTTCTCAAAGTCTATAAAGTTGAGGTAGAGGTTTGATTGCCATTCCATGCTTTGTTCTGTGATGATGATGCGTAGAGTTGCAATTTGGTCAGAACATGATTTGCCTTTCCTGAATGCAGCCAGCTTGTTCTGGTGGGGCGGAGTTCTGTCTCCAGTGCGTCCTTTAATCTCTCCAGGATGATGCGACTCAGGATTTTACTTGGTGTCGATAGGAGCATGATTCTTCGCCAGTTCTTGCAGAGTCAGGCCTGAGTCGCCCTTCTTTGGTAGTTTCACGAGGTAACCTTTCTTCCAGTCAGTAGGCACATTTCCCTCCTTCCAGACCTTTTGCAATAATGAATGGAGTCAGCATGTCTGCTGTCGTCTCTGGGTCTGCTTTCAGTGCTTCAGGGGGTATTCCATCTGGTCCGGCTGTTTTTCCAGCTTTCAGAAGTTTGATTGCGTTCAAGACTTCAGCTCTCGTTGGAGGATCGGTGTCAACTTGCAGTTGTGTGCGCGCTGTTGTTGGTATTTCTGGACGGGTTGCAGGTGATGGTCGGTTCAAGAGTCCTTTGAAGTGAT